TAATATATATATATATATATGTATATGTGTATATATATGTATATATATGTATTAGGGCTGTGTGGTTAATCGAAATCGAATTGAAATCGCGATTTGAGACGTTGCGATTTCCTAATCGCAAAGCCTGCGATGTGGACGCGATATTACTCTGTTCCAGAGCATATGCATGACTGCCAGCCTTGAGTTGCAGTCTTACTAACCAATAGAGTGAGCGCGCCTCCGTTCTCCCCAATCAGCACTGCTCTAGCCAACTGCGTAAACACTCACCATTAAAAAAATAAATAAATAAAAAACCCGGAACACGGGACGGGAGAGAGACAGAGTGGTATTATGGCGTCTACTGGGTTAGATCGATAGTTAGGCAAATTAAAACTAAAGAAAAACGTATGTAACTTAAGCTTCGAAATGACAGACAATGAACAAAAAAGGTAATTTCCAAGAGCTGCGTCTCCAGCGCATATCAAAAGCTCCCTTATCGGTTCTGTTTTCAGTACTGGAGAATAAAAGATACATTCTTAGATGTTTTTGTTAGTACGTGAACGTTATCTTACATTTTATCTCCCCAACAGATTAATTTGAAATAAGTTTATGATGCATGTTTGCTATTCCCAATTCAGAAGAGCGCACACGCAGCCTGTGTCTGTGAATGCTTCTCATACTCGCTCCTCTCTGCCCCACGCGGTGCGAATCCCGCGTCACGGACGAGCCGTTCACGCTTGCCGCACTCACGCAGCCTGTCTCGTAATGCTCGTTTATACTCGCACCCGGCTCCGCACCGCAAGTCTTCACGAGCGCATCTGGCAGTATGGATGAGGCTTGGCGCAACCTGTGTCGACTCGCGCCTGGCTCCGCGTTTAAAACGAATGTAAATTCAGTCTAACTGCTTTGCTAATTTCACTTGGATGAAATGAAACATTCAGCACATTTTCCACTTGTTCTTAAAATCCCAAATACTTAAAATGAATAAATCAGCCTATGTAACATATGTAATACTTTAATAATTGACTTAAGAAATACAGTTCTTTATTTATAAAAAATAGACAAATATTTTCTGTGAAATTCAGTAATTAAGTTAATTCTGTAAAAGTAGTTATACCATTATAATCTTGCCTGCTGAAAAAAAAAAACAATAGAACCCCTCCCAAAACACAATAAAAAATGTAATGGATTTCAGGGTTATAATGGGAATTGTATTGGTTTTTGTAATGGTTTAATGGAAACTATAAGAATTTCTGTGATGGTTTCTATTGTTTTTTTCAGCAGGGTAATGATACCCATACTGTGCTGCACATTATTGGCAATATTGAGCTGAAGCTTGACTTTGCAAATTTAAAATCGCAAATCAAATCGCAATCGCAATATCTGTCAAAAAAATCGCAATTTGATATTTTCCCCAAAATCGCACAGCCCTAGTTCAAATAACTCAATAACTGCTTTCATTTGCAAGTTCCAGGAAAAAATATCTACTGATGCATCCAAACACACATGTGAAAGTCTAATAAAATGGGGGTATGGAGACATCTTCAAGCAAATCTGCACAAACCTTAACATGGTACTCCCCATCCATCAGGATGTTCTGAGTTTTAAGATCATGGTGTAGAAGGGGTGGTGACATATTGTGGAGGAAGTTTACTCCTAAAGCGATCTCATAAAGAATACGCAGCCTCAATGTCCAGGCCACCACTGGGTACATATCTTTCTGTAACGCAATAAGAAAATACAGAAGTGAACATTCAAGAACCTGTATGCCACAAAGCAGAAAGTGAAACTGTACATTACTCAAAGTGAATTGTCCATTACACTAATACTACTAGACAAAACAGGAAGTATGTCATGTAAAAGGAATGCTGTTTGTACAGTTATACCTCATGTAGGAGCTCATCCAGTGATCCATTGGTCATGTACTCAGTCACAATGCAGAAGAACTCGGGCTCATTACACACCCCAAAGATCTGGATGATGTGGTTAAATCGAGCTTTGTGAAGCACCTCAGCTTCCTTCAATAAACAATTCCTTTCCCTGTAAAAAAAGGTGAAAGATCAGACAAGGAATGTAGTTTTTTTCTGTCACCAGACAATGTAATGAAATATAAATTATTGAGTGCATGGATTCCCACAGCTTTTTTCCCCCATTTTTCTTTCCATTATCCATTCTTCCCTGGACTTTGTTCTACGAAAATCTTGACACAGTTCATAAATGACAACACTTGTATGTTGCTTTTGTGTCCTTTTTGAAGGCCACTCATTATAACAACACAGAAAGAGAGTATAAAAATTATATTAATTATATAGAAAGAGTATTGAAACTATATTCAATATTAAAATAAACAATATAAAATTCTGGACAATACCGATAAGCTGGTAATTATATTCACATTATTGGATTTGTATGATACTAAAAAAAATTTTTTCCCTGAATAAATTAAAACACAACAAACTAAAATCAATCATTTAAAATGCTACAAGTGAGTTTATATCGCCTCAATGTTATAATATCACCAAAAAATGAAAATTCGGTCCTCATTTCTCACACTGACGTGGTTCTAAAACCATAAGACTTTCATTCAGCTTCAAAACACAAATTTAAATATTTGAATGAAATCTGAGAGATTTTTTTTTACCTTTCTTGTAAGTCAATTGCATAAAAATATTTTAATTTATTCAAAGATGAAGAAAAGTCTTATGGGTTTGGAATGACACACCCACATGTGAGAAATGACAACAATTTTCTTTTTTGTGTGTGTGAACTATCACTGAGTGATAGATGACAGCATAGATGCTCAATTCCACCATATTTCCCATTAATTATCCAATATCAGCTCATGCAGATGGAAAAAAAAAAATCTCTAAAATAAGTGCATCCCTTGAACAGTGACAAGTACATTTTTCTGAATTTCTCCTTTTTGTGTTCAGCAGAAGAAAATAATCATTCAAGTTTGGAACAACATGATGGCGGAACTTTTCATTTTAAGTGAACGATTACTTTAATTTTCACTCGAAACATTTCCCTGACTTTAAAATGTACGTTTTCAACATTTCACTGCTTTACATGACTTTTCCAGGCCTGGAAATCACATTCCATGACATTTCCAGGTTTTCTATGATTTTAGAAACCCTGAATTGTGGACAAGAATCGTCTGATCTGCAACTCTTACAGTCAGTGTTTGCCCAGAAAGAGCATCTATCATATTCTCACTTTATAGCGGTCACATGACTAAAAATGCATTCAAACAAACATCTTGAACATACAGTTCCCAACTGCAGTACCTTTAAAGCATGCAGTCTGATCGCATACTTCACGTGTGTACGTAAGTGCTGCATAAGTTTAAATCAGTGATCTTATTTGCACTGTATCCTTTCCTAAAAACCTGCAACAACCAGCATTTACGGTCAGACTACCAGACTGAAACAATCGCAGCACATTAAAAAGCCTAACAACCAAAGAAGTACATCAGATTTTGGCAGTGGTTTAGGAACCGAGCATTTGAGGTAAAAAGGAAGCAAAGTAGACAGCACATGTACACTGACCGAACCTACCTCTCACCAACCGGTGAATCCAGTTTCAAGCACTTGATCGCCACCGTTGTGCGCCAGTCACTATGCTGCGCCCTGAACACGGTCCCGAAGCCTCCTTTACTGAGGTAGTGCAGGTCCGTTAGTTTCCGATACGGAATCACCGGTAAGGTGCTGGTGAGACTGCAGATGTTGACGCAGCCGGTGTGCTCCATGTTTCAGGATATTACGAGATGAGACGGGCCCGTTCAGCTACACTAGAAAGGGGAACTGAAAGCGCACTGCTACTGCTGAAAACCCTCACGGAGACCAAATATCGCGCATGTACCTAACGTTACATGTTGTGAAAAGCGGTCTAATCTGCGTACTATATTATCCAGAAATAGGCGTTTGGGTGCATCTGTCTGACTACTAAATGATGTAGTCAAAGTATCCTTGTTAAAAGTGTCACTGAATAACATGGAAAAGATATGAGTCCTACAGCTCGCGCTCGGAGACACGCCCCCAATCCGAACAACGCATTTTATATCACGCCGTAAAACAAACTGCAAAATTACCGCCACAATGAAATAAAACCACCACAGTTTGAGATTTAAAGGTGACGAAACGTGGTCGTGGTGGTGGGTGAGAGCTCGTCAAATATTGCGCAGGTGTGTGAATGAGTGGGTCTGGCACTGTCACTCTGACTAAAACCTCAACGTTATGAGTTTTTTTGTGTGTGTGTGTGTGTGTGTGTGTGTGTGTGTAACCACTCATTTAGTCCCGCCCTTGAACTGACCACTGTTTGCCGCGGATAGATGAATGACATCTCAACTGGCCAATCGCAGACGTCTTTTAAACCCTTACAGCCAATCCTGTCTCAGGGGGCGGGATTTCTCGGAATACAGGTAGGGAAAAAACAAACAAATCCGATAACACGACTGTGACTTCAGCTTTCGGGTGTCGAAGGGTTCCACATTTGATTTGATGACAATTTTGGGGTGCATTCACCAGAGCTGAACAGTGTGAACTGTGAATAGCAGCTTTTTTCTTTTCTTTTCTTTTTGAAGTAGAGGAGAAACAATAATGTACAGTATGTGGAAAATAATGTGTTTTTTTAACTTTAAACCGCATAAACACATTTCATTACACCAAATACACAAAATAATGTTCTTTTTAGCAGCATCATATGACCCCTTTAACTTTTACACATAATCACACATAGGCTAACTTACACATAACTGCTGAAAATATCGTTATCTGGACGTTTGCTGTGAAATTTTATACACTATTCAGTACATATTTTCTACACAATTTGTTTATTTATTTATTTTGTTTATAATAATTGTATAAGGATAATGCAATAATATAATAATAGTGATTTATAATGTTTTATCATCCAAGTTTTTGAACTTGTTTGAACTGTTAAAAAAATGGTCAGAGACGTCGGTCTGACCTTTGTACATGTTTTTGACCCATGAAGGCTTCCAGGGTGATTCCAATATGATGTAACAAAGGGAATTCCCAACAAGAGATTTTCCTCACAATAATATGGCACTGCATCCAGCCTGTTATAACAAATAGAGAAACTTTAAAGAAATTTATGCTGACATGCAATAGAAATTCAGCTAACCCTAACCCTTCCATAGTATGCAAGTCAATGGGGGACCAGCAATTGAAGGTGAACTATCCCTTTAATGGTGATGATAGTGGCAACAACAACCAAGTATATTATTATAAATCTGGTGTGTGTGTGTGTGTGTGTGTAGGAGGAAGTTATTTGGTATTTTTTTAATGTAAAGTTACATCAGTTGCGGAAGAGAGATAACCATCTGAAATTTGAAACACCTAACTATAAAACTTCATGACATAAATGTCACTGCTTTTCAATGTTTTTTATTTTATTTAATTTACATTTTTTTATACAGACAGTGTCAGTCTGTGTAGGGTGTAAGTATAAGTATAAGTGTATATAAGTATAAGTTTATGAGTTTATTACTTTTCTGCAAGTTACATCATTTCGCCAGTAGATGGCGACAAGCGACTGTCTTTCTGATTGAGTCATTTAATCATTCATTCAACCGATTCTTTCAGCACTGATTCAGCACCATATGTTACTCGAAAACACGGCAATTCATTCTGCATTGTTTGGAACTATTTTTGTTGGTGCAGCAAAAATAGACAAAGTAACTGGAAATAGTGAGTCTAATTCTGTGTCTTACGCAATATGAACTTGTATTATTTATTTATTGTTATACTGTTGTAAAAGCAATATCACACTCACATTTCTGATTTTGTTCTGAATATCGGCACAGTTGTGATGCCATCAGAACAACACATTCTTGCTTGTGATATTGTTTAATTATACTTGGTATCATTTAGCAATAGCATTAATTATTAAAGTCACCAAAAACTATGCTTTAGCTGAAAAACAAACCAAGTAGCAAATACATTCTGAATGTCATTCACGTAATGTAATACATTATTTTCATTATACATTATATTCATTATTTTGTTTTCTTTCATAAAAAGTAACTGGAAAAAACAATACGATTAAGAAAAGTTATTGTAATCTTTTGACAACCCTAATCATTTTTGTAAAAAAATTTTTTATAGGTTTAACAAAGCAAAATTGAATATTTTCAGCCCTCTTGAACCTCCTGTGGTTGGCATTCACTACATTAAATAGGGCTGAACATACTTCACTTCTGGACTTCATGTTTATCATTAAAGGTTGTTAACAAAAGTAAGAAAGGGGAGAACGAAATACAGATGTTGCTGTCTACTGGTACACACACACACACACACACACACACACACAGAAAAGCCAAACTACGTTACAATTACAGTACATTTAACAAAAGCAAGTATGTAAGGCATTCTAGATAAAATTTCGATAAATTTCGACTGATTTCTAGATATTTTTATTACTACATATGCAGAGTCCATATTCATACACCCGACACCGACTTTCAATGGCTAACAAATCATATGAAAAATCAATAATGAATTACATAATAAGTGAAGTAACACAGTGGCGTTTTCTCGTTTATTTACGGACTGAATTACATACATTTTTAAACCTTGTTGTTACCATCTGGTGAATTTCAGAACCACTTCAAGTCCCAATGGCGCCATCTAGTGCTTACCAGTAAACCCCGCAGAGGGATTTCACATGTGTCCTGATGGATCCCAGCAGCGATGTGTTCAGTTTTTTCCACACCTAACTTTTCCACTTTCCATCAACAAAAGGCAGCCAAATGGTAACTTTTATGGTGTTGTGAACCCATTACACAGCAGGGAGGAAGAATGGACCAGTTTTAATTCTACATTAAATAAAGGCCTAACTACCTCACAAAACGTTCTTTTGATTCTTTGTCATTGTTTTTCATAGACCAATACTCAGATGTTTAATGATTCTGCAATACTGTTTCAGACAATTGCAATAAAATATAGCTAAAATAAAATAAAAGGGAAAAAATATCTCCAAACATACAAACAGCTTTCATGGAAAGGTCATTTTTATGCAAGGTTTTTGTAGATCCACATTTACCACACCATACAAATAGCAATGACTTTTAATTTTATCATACAAGAAGAAGGTGTGGTTTGGTTGTGTCTCATTTGTGACCTGATTTACTTCTCTTAATGGGATACTCCACCCCAAAATGAAAATTTTGTCATTAATCACTTGTCGTTCCAAACCCCTAAAAGCTTAGTTCATCTTCGGAACACAATTTAAGATATTTTGGATGAAAACCGGGAGGCTTGTGACTGTCCCATTGACTGCCAAGTAAATTACACTGTCAAGGTACAGAAAAGTATGAAAGACATCGTCAGAATAGTCCATCTGCCATCAGTGGTTCAACCGTAACGTTATGAAGCGACGAGAATACTTTTTGTACGTGAAGAAAACAAAAATAACTACGTTATTCAACAATTCGTCTCCTCTGTGTCTCTCCGCATCACCGTAGCGACATTTTGGAGAATATCCGCTGGACACAAGCAGCGTACGCTATTCTGTGTCAGCAGCGACATACGCTGCTTGTGTCCAGCGGATATTCTCCAAAATGTCGCTACGGTGATGCGGAGAGACACAGAGGAGACGAATTGTTGAATAAAGTCGTTATTACACGGTGTTACTCACCTATTGAGAAGAAACAAAGCAACCTCGGCGTCCGATCGCAGGCCTCCGCTCCTTGAGTTCTCTCCAGCGCTGGAAAGCTGATCTGATATTTACACGGGTCCTACTTCTTGCCTTATCTTTCCGCAGACGTTTTCCTCTTTTGTTTTTTATCCGCCATCTCTATCTTTCTGTCGCTCGGCTCGCTAATGTCCGTACCATGCACTGAAAGCTCTCTCCTCCACATCACGAGTAGACACGCCCCTTATTGCTGATTGGCTACAAGTTTGTTTTGCGATTCGGCCCGAATCAGTTTTCTAAAGTGTTTTTGAAAAATCACTTACTCTGCCTTTAATGACAAAATTTTCATTTTTGGGTGGAGTATCCCTTTAATTGTGAGGAATGCAGAAGATGACATTCAGTCAACTTCTGCTAACATTAGATTTATGATTCTTTTCTTTTCACCAGGTCCCAAGCCAGTCAGAACACCCATACAGATTATCAAGCTACTTTTGGTAAGACAAAAAGTCATATTTATATCGATGTTGTGTTTGATGCTTGCGAGCAAATAAGGGATTCTACCTTGAAATAAGTCTTCAAATGCTGTATGACTAACCTTTTGAAAGAATATCTAGTAAAATACTACTTTTTATCTGTCAAGTAACATGTGATACAAACAATCAGTTTTGGCACTTCAGAAATAAATGTTTTGTTTTGTTTTTTAAACAATCCTTCACCCTCAAATGATTTATGACATAATGAATTTCCTTCATTTCTGTCCTCATTCTTTTGGAAAGGATGCATTCTGAGAACGTCATACACAACATGTTTTACCAGAGCCACAGTCCAGATGTTGTAAGGAGAGGGAATGTGATGGAGTATTACAGCTATGGATTTGGCAGAGGGAGCAATGGAGAGAGGACACTCAAGGTCACCTTGCTTGGCTATAAAGTTATGGAGGAAAAGACACCGTCTACAGTAAGGATTTACTTATTTGTGGCTCTTTTCACTCTGCTGTCATGAATTTGTTTCAGATTGTCTGTTGTTCATATTTTGATTGTAAAGCACTCAAAGGGGATAGTTCACCCCAAAATGAAAATCTGTCATCATTTACTTGCCCTCATGTTGTTCCAAATCTGCATGTCTTTGTTTCTTCCGCGTGGAACACAAAAGCAGAAATTCTAAATAATGTGCTAATTTTATACATGCAATTACAAAGAATGTGGACTGGAGCTTCACACTTTAAAAGGAAAAAAAAGCATCATAAAAGTATCATACAAGTGTCTTCTAGAATCAAATGGTGCCTTTGTTTCAAAACGAACCGAAATAAAAAGGCATTGTTCACCCAAAAATGAACTCACCCTCATGTCATTCCAAAACCATGTTCAACTTTTGTTTAACTTCGGAACACAAATGAAGATATTATTATTGAAACCTGAGAGATTTCTGTCTCTCCATTGAAAGTCCATGTAACCAAGTTTATAAAAATATTGTAAATATGACCCATATGAATCAATGT